TTTATATTTTTTATTTATTTATAAGTTTTGTAATTAATTTCTTATAATTCGTTCATTCTTTTCTTTTTTAAATATCCAAAACATCCTTTCTATTAGCAATCTCTATTTGAATTTGAATTTCATAACCGGAAATAATGAAACACCAAAAATATGTTTAATAGCTTAATCAGTTTGAAAACCTAATAATCAACATCATCATCACGATGCTCATCTTCTTCATAATGACCTTTGCGATTAACATAATAAAAATTGATTTGATTTTCCCTGGGGAGCATATAGCTATGTATATACTTATATACATACATACAAATATACATATATATGTTYTTATTAAGGCTTTTAGAGTGGAATGCATTTTTGATTAATTACAAGGCGCTGGGACTGCAGCCAGCCGCCCGGAACCCTTGCCCCAATCAGAACCCTATACCATTTGTCTTATTCTTCTTTATATGCGCTCTACTGCCACTGCCACTACCTTGTGCATTACAGCGCGTTGTACCTGTCCGTGTCTCATGTGGATGATGTTCAAGACAAAGAAGAAGAAGCAGCAGCAGCAAAAGACGGTAGAAGAAGGTTGGGCCCTTAATTTGGCTGCCCCTGAGAAGTTGAGAAGTTACGAGCAGATCTTTTTCGGGTTCAACCAAGTTCACAATGCGCTCTGTCTTTGGGTTCTTAAAGGTATTTATTTACTTTATTTTCATTTTTATTCTGTGGTCTTGGCTTACGCTCTGCCCTGTCCCTCGGCTTGGCTTTTCGATTCTGTTTGCTGTTGTTATCATCTTTTCTTCTTTCTTTTTTTTTTAAGCATTTACATACATTTCTATCTTTTTTTTTCAAGGAATGCTCTTTCATAAAGAATGCGTAGAATTTTGATCCAGTAGAACGATTAAAAAGCTTTCATTTCATTATTAATAATTTTGAGAAATTAATAATAATAATAATACCAGCGTTATTTATGTAAACAATCCATAAGCGCTCAAAAGCTTGCATACAAATGACTCAAAGAGCATAAGCTCTTCGACTTAGCCGCTCGACTGAGTTAATATTTGAGCTCATTTGGTTGACTGTTTCTTTCTTTTGCTTTTTTGGAACGTTTTTTATTGGGTCGCTGCTTATCATTATTCAAATATTTTACCTAGGCACACACGCACACACACACACACATTCCGATCTCGTCTACCATCTTTCCAATGGGCGATAACAATTACATGTGCACACGCATCCATATACATACATATATATGTATATACACTTTCGACTTCTTTTGGGTTCGACTTTCGTAATTACACAAACAACTGACGCTCTCAAGTGCAGCATTTCCGCTGTTCGATATTAAACAGGGGGATGAAAACCCATAAAACCGAGGTGCATGCGATAGGGGGAGACGTGGTGGTGGAGGGGTGCAATAATATATATATTTTACTCACCTTGCCGGCTGCCTTTTTGTAGCGTCGCGTGGCCTCGCTGATCAAATCCCGGACGAGCAGTTCGCCGGTGCCGCAAGGCACCAAAATGCGAACATCGCCGAAGCAAACGGTAACCTTCATAGTTTCGATAACACTTTTTCGATAACACTTTAATTAAATATATTAATAAGAATGCACTTGTGTGGAATGTATTTATGCAGTTGCAGTCGTTGTCGTTGTTCTTGTTGTTGTTGCAGTTATTATTATTAATGTAGATACATATTTTGCTCATCTGTACGTTGTTCTTGCTGCTGTTGTTGTTGTTGTTGTCGTTGTCTGTTACTGGCATTTGGCTTTGGCATCATCTTCTCCTTTCATCTGCTCCTCAGGCAGCTGCATACGTTTATTTGCCTGTTTCTGTATGTGTGCGTGCGCGTTGCTATTCATCTAGCTGGACAGTGTGGCATGCGAGCGAGCGAGCGAGATGGCCTGCACTACCACGCTTAAAGGACTTTGGCGTCGCTGCTGCGGCTGCGGCTACGGCTGCGCACTTGACAGCAGCTGTACACACGACGGGAAAAAAACGTTTTTTTTTTGTTCACCTACCACCAGACAGAAAGAACTATCGCGTGTGCGTGCGCGTTTAAAGGTGCGTATGTGTGTGTGCGAGTGTCTCTTGCTCTCTGTATGCGTCTGTGTGTTTGTGTGAAAAAGCGCCGCTTTGTATTGTTTTATTTTGTTATCGTTTTTTATCTCTCGCGCTCTCAATGCAGGATGCACTCGTCAACGCACTCGTCTCGCTCTTTTAGCTGTTTTACGCTTTGCCTTTTACTTTGTTTATTTCATTTAGCATATTTCACTGCATTTTCTGTTAGCGGTTGTTGTTGCTTGTATGAATCACACGCGCAAAACGAGTTACAATAACAACACTTCAACAAAACAAAAAATAAGGCAAACAACAGGCCAAGATCATCGGAAACGTCGTAACCGAACGCAACAACAACAAAAAAATAAAACACGTTAGACAACAACAATAATACCAGCTGCACACCGCTAACTGCAACGGCAATGGCAAATTTTTGTTGTTCCACAAAAACAAAAAATTCAAAATAAAAAATACACAATTCGGTTGCTTGACTCGCGTTTTTTGTTTTAGCAGCTTTTTGCTTTATTGAAAAGTTAAATTGTCTCTTTTACCAACTGGTGGCACAGATATTCCGTTCGATCATTTTTCGTCGCACCGTTCGCAACGTCGTTTCGTGGTTATCTTCGCTTCTATAGGTAAGCGTCGTTTATGCTTTTAATTCATTCTCTTTTATTGCGATTGCACCTACAGTTACATGTGTTTTGGTATTTGCACTTGACTCGTTAGCGATTCTACACAATTATCATTTAGTGATTCTTAACGTGTAATTTCAAAAACAAAAACAAAAAAAAAACAAATTCTTTAGCGTTGAACATCGCGCTGCGCTGCGAACGCTGTCTCCGCGTTAAATGCCAACAACAACTAGCCAAGTCTGGGAATATCGGCTTATCGATTAACCAACTAGCGCCAATTCGAGCCGATGTTTTTGCAATCGCGATAGTTGTTTGTTAAATATATCGAATGTATTTTCATGCGCGCGAAAATGCTTTTATTTTGCCTGTTTACACTTTTAAATGAATTAATTTTTAATATCAAAATGGTATACCAGCTGATCGAATTTGTTGCTTAGAACAATTTTATTTATTCATATTAATAATATGATAATTTAACAAGGCAAAACGTAGACATTGCTTAACATTGTTATGGTTACAGACTAATGTATTTTTACCACGTGTGCCGACAAATAAATATTTATGTTAAAAAAATAATTATCTTTTCGCATCCAATTGGCCAGATGGACTCTAACAAAATCTTACCGCGCAAACGTATTTCCAGCCAATCATAGTGTGCCCATATATTTAGAAACTATGTAAAGAAATTATCGAATATAAGCATTTCATTCGATAGTTCTGTGGGAAACTGGTTATATTCAATGTGACCAAAACAAGCCCAATTGCGAATGCGAAAAGTAGCTAAGAACCTAAGAAACAAAACGAAATTCACGTACAATTTATATTTTCTGACATGACGGATGCACACTCAGGCACTGCCTACAACAACAAGACACTGCTGTAAGTACTCGAGTGCAGTTAGCGCGCATATAACGAATTCTAACTTGCAGATGCACAAACATACCAGAACTCTTCCTCGACAAATTTGTGGCGCGCACGCATTTCAGTAGGTTCGGCAACCTGGTGAATTTTGTGCTGCGTCCCCGGCGCATGACCTGCACGGTAAGCTATTCCAATGAAGAGGAGGCTGCTTTGGCACTGCGTGAGGGTAATGTCTACAACGGTCACGAGTTTGACATGAGCTACGCAGAGAACGAGAGCACGCCGGCCCAGAAGACTGAGGAATGGGTCGACCCCGATGTGCAGGCGGAACTAAGTGTCTTGAGTGGCACCTGGCGCAACGAATACGGCTCTAGCAAACCAAACGCAACAAAACCACAGACTATGACTACAGCTACAAGTCTCTTCGGCTCAAGCAAAATCGCATCAGCTGCTACAAGTGGCAATGCTGAACGGGAAAGAGAGAAGGACCGGGAGCGTGAACGACAACGTGCACCCGCTCAATTCAAGATCGCCAAGCAGGAGCTGGAAGCCGTTATGCGCAAGCCGGCGTACACAAGCGAGGAGAAATATCGCGTCTTGGATGCACGTGACAAACTGTTGCGCCTGAATCAGAAGCGCTCGACAACCGACGCACAACGTTTACAGGGCCACTGCCCGGACATGTGTCCTGAAAAGGAACGTGTGCTTCGCGAATTCCAACGACAAGTGGCAATTTATGAACTGAAGCCGGGCACCGATGATCAGATCGCACATGAGCTCGCCCTGAAGCAATATTCGCGCAGCAGCGCCGATCAGGAGACACCGCTGCCGCATGAGCTGCGCGCTGAACCCGTCCTCCACATGACCATGAGCTATCTGATGCACGAGATAATGGATATCAGTGAGACAACGGATAATCTGGGCGATTGGTTCCACTTCGTTTGGGATCGAACACGCTCCATACGCAAGGAGATTACCCAGCAAGAGCTCTGCTCCCTCAGCGCCGTCAAGCTGGTGGAGCAATGCGCACGCTTCCACATCCACTGCGCCGCCCGCCTGGTCGCCGAGGATCCCAGCGTCTTTGATGCGAAAATCAATGCCGAGAATCTGACGAAATGTTTGCAAACGCTCAAGTACATGTACCACGATCTGCGCCTCAAGGGCATCCAGTGTCCGCGCGAGCCCGAATTCCGTGGCTACATTGTGCTGCTCAATCTGGCAGATGCGAATTTTCTCTGGGACATCTCGCAGCTGCCCGTCGAGTTGCAGAACTGCAAGGAAATCCGACGGGCCATCCAGTTCCACTTGGCACTGCAGGACACCAATTTCGTGCGATTCTTCCAGCTGCTGCGCGAACCGGAAACGAGCTACCTGAGCGCCTGCATTCTGATCACCTATTTCATTCGACTGCGCATTCTGGCCATGCATCGCATTGTGCAGGCCTATCGAGCGCCACGCAAATACGAATTCACCCTGCTGCCCGTCCAATATATACGCCAAATGCTGCTCTTCGCCAGCGACGAGGAGACGATTGAATTTGTCGAAGGCTGCGGCCTGACTGTGAACCAAGCGGATCGCGTTGAGCTGACTCGCATCCATACGCCAGAGCACTACAAGCTGAGTCGACAGTTCGAGGTGAGTGTGAAGTGGAATCTTTACCAATTGAGAACCTTCATGTGCTCTTTGATTCTGCTACTTTTGCTCTCGCTCTAATCGATTCTAACTGCTATTTCTCTCTCTCTCTCTCTCTCTCTCGTTCAGCTGGTTGAATCGAAGCGCAATCAGAGCGTCGGCGAATGCATTTGTGGCGAGGAACTGCCGCCGAAATCCCTGTACAGCAATCATCGGCCGCACAACAGCTTCAATGAGCAGGGCTATCTGAAGAGCAGCGCCTGGACAGCGAGAGATCAGCTGCCGAATGCCGAGGAAGAGGAAGAGGAGCCAAGAGCAGCGTACACCGAAACAATGCCAACGGCAGCAACAGCAACGGCAACAACAGCAGCGACAACAACAACATTTAAGAGCCCCACATCCACGGATAATCTGTTCAAGGTGCCGTTGTTTTCGGCGCCCATATCGCCAAGGATTAAGCCAGCCACGCCGCCATCTCAAGCGCCACAGCCGCAGCCACAGCCAACGATGCCGGCCAACATCTTCGGCTTTGAGATGCCGCAAAAGCAACAGCAGCAACAACAGCAGCAACAGCAAGCCTTTGGCTTTGGCCGGAACACAGCTGAAGCAGCCAAACCGAGTACGAGCACAGCCATTGGCTTCAGTTTTGCAGCTGCAGCGGCTGCCAGCATGGCAAAGGACGGCCCAAGTGCCGCTGATCTTGCCGAGCAACAGCGACAGCAGAAGGCCGCCGATGAGGCCAAATTTGCTGCACTGCAGCAGGCCATAGCCACGGCCAAGCAGCGTGAACAGGAGCTGCTCGAGCTGCAAAAGGCGAAGGCAGAGCAGGCGGAACGTGCGCGACAGCAGCGCCTGTTCGAGCAGCAGCAGGCCCAGGAGAGGCAAAAGCGCGAGGAGCAGGCACAGCAAGCGGCCGCCGCGGCTGCCGCAGAGGCAGAGGCGAAGGCGGAGCGCCAGCGCCAGCGGCGCGTTGAGGCGGAGCGCACGACACAGCGCAATCACCTGCTGGACCAATTGATCGATGAGCAATTGAACGAGCTGTGCAAACGGGAGTTCCGGCTGCATCACAGCGCCCTGGCCATATACGATGCACTGCTGGATGAGCAGATTGTGGAGCTAGTCAAGCGGAATATACGGCGCACCGACTACGAGCTGGGTCTGATGCGTCAATATTGGCGACGATGGCGCAACTACCGCCGCGTGCAGCAGCAGAAGGATGCGCTCTTCGCCTGCCTGCCGCTGAGCTTCGGGGCTGAGTCGAGCGAGCGCCTGTTGAACACGAAGACGGCGGAGCAGCCGTTGCGTCTGATGCGTCGCTATCGCCAGGGCGAAGCCTGCGACTATCGCCAGTTGCTAGCGGGCATGGACGATCAATGCTGGCTGAAGCTCGACCTCTGGGAGCTACTGGCCCACACACTCCAGCAGGAGACGCCCGGCGCTCGTCAATATTTCAAGCTGTTGATCTCGCTGCCCGACAGCAGCGTGGGACTGGTCATGGAGCATGCCTTGGATCGGGGTGTGCTGCAGCAGCCCATACAGAGCGAGGGCCAGAGCCAGAGAGCGAAGGCGCCTGGCCAGCCTGCCTACATAACGGGACTGGCTCACGGTGTGGCACTGTGCGTCCACAAACTGAAGGGCATGCCGCCATCGAATCCGAACCAGATGAGAAATGCCGATGGCATCATATGCTTTGTGGATGTGAAACAGGTGCCGGAGGCGCGTCAACGTTTGCATAGCCTAGTCAAGAGCAGCGGCTGCGACTATGTGGCGGTGATTGTGCAGCAGCAGCAGACGGAAGAGGCACAGCTGGCGGTGCAACTGCAGCTGGAGACGTTGCGCGCTTTTCGCATCTTCGACTGCCGCACCATGGCGCGTGGCAAGCAGAAGCTGCAGCTGGTCGCACTACTCCAATGTGCCGTCCAATTTCTGGCCAAGCAGCCGCATCGCAGTCGCGGCTCACTGCAGCAGATGGAGCTGCGCGAGTGGGTGCTCCGGCACCTGGGCGACGAGTTGTTTGAGCGACTGCGCTATGCGTCGCTAAAGGATGTAGCCATTGGCTGGCGCTGTCGCCAGGTGCCTCAGTTCTGTGTTCAGCTGTACAACGAGGCTGTGCGTCGCCTGCAGCTGGTGGCGGGCGAGCAGCTGGATGATCGACCCCAGCTGCCGCAGGAGCTGCGCGACTATGTGGAGCCGCTGCCGCCCCAGGCGCCGTTGCCCAATCGCCTGGAGTACTTTGTGAGTGGCTGGCAATCGCGGGAGCAGCGAGCGAAGATCGTGCAGCTTCTGGAGCAGGCCAAGCTGCCGGAGATGCCGCCGCTGCCGGCGACAAGCAACAAATCGCAGGACGCTCTCTGTGAATGGCTGCTCAACTATGCCCAGCTGAGCGAGGACGATGCTCAGGTGGAGACGGTGGCGCTGCGTGCGATACAAACGCTTGAGCTGCAGCTGCGCACGGGCAGTCCCAACTACCTGGACATTGTGGACATCTTTGCCAAGGAGCGGCTCTATGTTGTCCTGCAACGCAATGCCGCCTCAATTCCAGCGGCTATTGTTTACCGACGTCACACCATGCAGCGTTACTTTGCGACGCACTGGTATTATGATTGGCCATCACCAGAAGAGGCAGCAGCAGCTGCGGCGGCGGCAGCAGCTGAGAGTCCACAACAGGAAGAGTCGATCGAAGAGGCGACTGCATTGGCGCCCCAACAGGAGCCGCTTGACTATGAGCAGGTGCTGCGAAAGGCGCAGGCTGTACTGGACAAATGCCAGCAACATCACCCCGTCGAACGCAAAACATTGACCGTTCTGAACGAACCGCTGGACACTCTGGACCGCATCATGGAACGGTGCGAACGACATACTTTAAACGTTCCTCACGAGCCGCACTCGAATTGGCAATCCCGACGACAGGCCGAAAACTTGCCCATGCCGGTCAACAAGCGACAGCGTCTCAACGCCCCGGCGAGTGATGAGTGCGCAGATCTCTTGGATCGCACTGAGCGGTTACTCAACGTCAGCCAAACGGCTGAGGAGAGACGCCTTCAAATACTGCAACGTGCCAATAGGTTTCTATAATTTCCGGAGCATTTATTTATCTATTATACCTGTAATGAATCTAGTTGAGTGAATATAATTTAATTATTTAAATAAATACGTATTAGGAATTTACACTTTATAAGAAACGATTTTCGATTCACTTTACGTTCGCACTTGCATTAGTTGAAAACTCAAAAGGTATAACGCCAAAAACTATGCTTCTTACGTTATGCAACACTTTGATAAYCACCACACATATCGTGTTCTGTATTTCTGCTTTTGTTTTTATATATCTATATATTGTCTAACAATTTTAATATTTTATTAAACAAGTGTCATGCTACCCTCAGGGCCCACTGAAACTAGCTTTACATTCACATCCTATCAAATGCGAGTCATAGAAATTTGAAATTACGCGCCGCCAGAAAGTATGCCTCGCGCGTTGTGCGACACTGTTCGATTGACAGTTTGTACGCTGCCTGCTATCGATTGGAAATAGTTTGAAATAAATATCGCACGTTGATTTAGTAGCAAACCCAAAAATTAACATGTAGGCCTTGCCGGCTTTTCTACGGTCAGTTGTTAAATTTGATACATTTAAGCACAGCACAGACAAAATTCAGTTGAAAAAGTACAATTTGTCTCATACAGAAAATCTAAATTATATATCGCCGCATTTCATACAATTTCTAATTAGTTGCAAGCTATACAAGAGCCAGAAGAAAATTTATACGAAATCTAAAATTAATAAAGTCCTATACGTATTTGTGCAAACTGTGCAAATTCTTTTAGAAATTTATACCATTTGTCTAATCTTAAGTCGTTTCGACTCGAAACCAGTCTGTTAACGTGAACAATATGAATAATCTTCCAGGATTCAGCTCGTTTCGTATGCTGCCCTTCGGAGGTATGGAATCAAATATGAATACATTTGTTTTATACATATTTTTCCAACAGCACTTGGCCGCTGGAGGCGTGCATTGTCCAAAACAATCAACACCCAGGGCGTTGGCCAGAGTCCAGTTTCCGCTATATTGAGCACCTACAGATCGGTGCGCTCTCGCCTGATGAGGAAGATGTCGGTGGCCATGATGCAACGGCGCTCAAACCTGAGCTTTCTGGAGAAGCGACCCATTAATCTACAGAGTAATGCAGCAGTTGGCTATGCACGACTGCCGGTCACAATGCGCCACTATCCAAAGACGCGCGCCCAGAAGCGCTCCAGTGTCGACTATTTCCCATTGATGATGCCCACATCGAATGTGTGGGCCAGTTTCCATGCGCACCGCACCTATGCCACACTGGGCGAGAGATTTGAGAGGAACAAAGTAGTGAAACGTCCGAAAACATTAATAGATCGGCCATTGGTACCGACGCTGGCATTCGAGCAGCCGGAAAGCGAAACGAATGTTGGAGCGGCCCTTCCGGAGGAGTCCGTCATGCCGGGAAACAAAATGAGCCATATGCTGAAGTTTCTGCGCGAGAATGCGAAGCCAACTGGCAAAGGAGATGAGAAATCAGAAAAATTACAAACACCTACGTTACCCATAATGCATATACTTGACAAGAAGGATCAATTGGCGAGGACTCACACAGCGCACAGCTCATCGCCGGTCGCCCGACCCCTGCAGCCGGGTGCACTAGCAAAGCCCAGTGCACGCCCACAAAGCGGAAGCGCAAAATATCTGCTGTTACAGAAGCTCACAACACCCGAGATGTCCTTTCTGAAGGCAACCAAGAATGCATCCAAGTATCTGGAAACGTATGAGACACGCCTGAGGGCGTCGCGTCAATCGCAGCCACTGAAACTGCGACTGCCTGAGGCACTGCAAGACGACAGCTTGACCTTGAAAACGCCCACAGTCAAGAGGAGCCAGCTGAGCTACCGCAGCACATACAAGCCACGGTTTAAGCCAAGCTCAGACTCTCGCTCGCCCAGCGCTATGCAAATGCCGGGCATCAAGGCGCACAAGATATCGATGCCGCACCGGAGCACGCGCACGAGCAAGAAGCACAAGTATCCAATGAAGCCGAATAGCGAGCAGGATCGCCAGAATGCGGGCGATGAACATAAGGAACGGGATGATCTGAACAATTTGCTGGGCGATCTATTGAACCAGAGTTCGTCCAAGCAGCAAGTTGGGGCGATCGAATTCAATAAGACGGCGCCGCTATTCAAGCTGGTCACCACCAGCATGGAGGGGCGCAGCAAATTGCACACTCGAGCCTTCGAGAAGCAGCTGGAGACGCCACCGCTATATCGGGGACCGCCAATTAGGCAACGCAGCCAATCGACGGGCGTTACTCGCCGTGCCATTATATTGGGCCAGAAGGCGGCGGTGCGAGCCAAATCGATCATGGAGAACAAGCTGAGCTTGCTGCTGAAGGCCGACAAGCAGTACCAGGACGAGGAGGATGACGACGAGGACAACGAGGAAAATCACTAGGGCCAGCGGCCATAACATCCATGCTCCCTAACCATAATTCCTGATGTGAGACTTATGCAGTGCGATGCAGTGCGTCCAATCCCAGCCAAGAAATCTAAGATTAATCTCTCTCCAAACCGATCTCAGCACCCTATTCTCAGCACTCGTTATTCATCAACATATGTATGTATGTAGTATGTATGTACGTTCGCCATGCCACAAATTCTGGTTATACATATATTGAACAGGATATACCATACCAGTGAATGTAACATATCCAATCCTCTCGGCTGTACACTCAATTTTGTCGCCAAATTCTAAATTGAAAGAAAGATGTTAATTATATTTAATTTAAATGTAAACAATCCCATTTATAATAATTTTGATTACAAGAACTAGTATTTGTACTTAAATACATAGATATAAGTTCATTTAAAGAAAGCCTAAAATATTCAGGATCGTTGTATTCATTTCTGAGACGTACGATCTACAAGACTTTCTTATTTTTCAATAAATTTTGTAAGTAATTAGAAAAAAAAGAAAAGAATTATATATTTATGTATGTTTCAAGACTCATGAAATC